CGTATATGTCACACCCCAAAATTTTTGATTTTGGGTTGTACATAGAAAACACTAAATAAAATAAATTATTTTAATATTTGAATAAAATTTACTAGGTTTAGTTTGAGTTAACGTAAATTTAGTTATAGAAAAAATATGAATTTTTAAAGTTTTCTAATTTTGACGAGCGTTTGGATGATGTGATGTTTGCTCGTTGTTTCTTTGTGTGTTGAGAATGAGCAAAGTCATTAAAATACGTTAGTAGGTTGATTTTCCTTCTCCATCACGTCTTTATCTTTTTCTACGATCAAATTCTTTGTTTCACGGCTCAAGTTTTCGTTGGGAGCTTCCTTAAATCTTTTTTTTAACGCAAATCACTCCTTTTAGTTCCTCGTCCGTCAATCAATCTCTACAAACTTCTCAGAAATTTTTCTAGCTTTTTCTAAAACTTGTTGCTACTTGTCTATGAGCATAATTTAATTTTTAGATGCTTCAAATTATCTTATCATGGGCTCCAAATACTTTATTTGGGTTTCTCATGTTCCATAATATCTCTGGGAATTTTTTTCCGAATTTTCAGAGCTTTCGAAGTATTTTTCGCGGCTTAAATAATAATTCTATACTTTTCTAGAATTATTTTATCCACGAAATTAATTAATTCCGAAAATAATAAATCTCTCATTTTTTTCAACGCTCAAAACTCATGTGCAATAATCCTAATAAATCCTAAAGACCCATGCATTTATTTAGTAATGGGCTTTAATGATTATTTAGGCCCATTAGTAAAGGTGGGGGTACAACATCAATTAGTACCATATTACTAGTTGATGTGAATGTGAGGAGTTTTTCTCCCTATATATCTGTACCAACCCTTTATGTAAAGCACATCAAAACTACCACAACAGGAGCCCTTAATTTGATAAATCCCTTGTGTAGTAAATCAGATTTTTTTCCTCCTTCTCTCGCCGCCGCGCTGAACAAGTCAAGTCCACCCCTTGCACAGCTACTGTTACCATGGCCGTGTGGTGGTTGTACGGGAGGCCAAAAGATGAAGATGACGTAATTACGAAATTACCACCGGTTCGTAATATCATCGTCGTATATTCGTTTTAAATCCGTTTCAAGTCGTTCCAATTGCGTTAGATTCGTATCGATGTGATCTACATACCAGTGTCATCATTTTTCATGTCAAGTGACTTTTATATATATGCTTAAATATTAATTTGATTAATATGTATGCAGCTAGTTTTTATAAATAAAAACAACATAATTATATACAATGCTATTTTGCAAATAATTTTTAACATGACTAGTTGCTAACATAAATATGTTTCTAAATTATAATATGTTTATTCTAAACACACATCAAATTTGATTAGATGTTCTCACATGTCAGTTTGTATTTGCAAGTTAAATTGAATTGGCATAATTGATATCAAAATATTTATAAATAAAATATGATTAGCTTCAACTCAGTTTTTAAGTATAAATACGATTTATTTAATCTAAATTAATGCTACTCACATAGTTTTTTCTAATTAACATAAATCAAGCTTATAGTCTTCTCTTTTCTTTTATAATATAAAATCATGTAGTCATTTCTTTACAATCATAGTTTCGATTAGCGTGCTTTTCGTGTATATGTGTTTGTAGCGACGTGTAGAACATCTTTAAAACATTTTTACTTGTTGTTTTATATGTTTGGTGTACTGTTCTAATTTAGTTCTATTGCTTGCTTCGTGTATAATTGCATAGATGCTTGTGTGGTGCTTTATGATCATTTCCGGTCGGTGAAAAGTACATTAGTGAAATAGAAGAAGTTAGTGATACAGAAGAAGTCTTTTGGAGGTTACAATTCAGTAGAGGAAGAATCTGAGTTTAAGATAAGTATAGCATAGGATCATCTCTGGTGTCCTATACACCTTTAATCATTTAATTCATACTGCATGTATCTACTTTGACTACCACTAAGGATTTCTTAGTACTTTATACCTTGTGTCTTGATACATATGGGGTATTGCATTGGATAGTATGATGCTAGTGCTCAACTAAAGCTATGATCTTGTAACTTAACTAATGGTATATACAATAAACATTAAAAGATGCTTTTTAGCAACATGGAACAAGGAGGCTAGAGCATTGGGATGCTTTTATGTTGCTCTAGATTCCTCTCTCTAATAGCTTATCTGTAAGTGATCATCCCAAACTTACAGTACAACCATGAGGGCTACATGGCTCTGGTCTTAGTCTAGTACCTTGCTTTTTCTAGTTTGTAGCAGTTTATCGAAAGGATAAGAGAGGCATATCAGGCTGGGTATGGGCCTCATCCCCAGAGTGTGTACTATGCTGCGTGTATAAGTGCCACTTGTAGAGATGACTCCAAAACACTTGGAAGATGAAATCCTTAGCAGCTGCTCCTTATTAGAACGACCGGAGAAAAGCTTCGTAGTGTACCATGCCTGATCACCATGGAAGTATTTTGAGAGTTGTAAACCCGAGTATATGGGTATCATGACTCATGGTGAAAGTGTACAACCTATGCAGAGTATAAAACTGATATAATAGCCGTGCTCATGGTCACGAGCGGCCTTGAAACCCTTATGGAATAGATGATGAACACTAATGATATGAATGATGAAGATGCTCACTAATGGTTAATTGTTTATGCTATTCATTATTCATGTTTATCTGATCATGTGTTTATGGGTTTGTGATAAATTTATTGCTATCTAATTGCTAAAAGATGACTCATTAAAAGCTAATCATAATTAAACTAGTGTCAGCCTTTTGAGCCTTATGAATTCCATGTTATATTTGTTGAGTACGACATGTACTTATGCCTGCTTTACTTTTTAAATCTTTGAAAAAATCCCGGATGGATACCAGATTGCTAGAGTTTGAAGGAATTAGGCTTGTGATCAACCAGTTAGTTGTCCCTGTAGAATTAGACTCTTCACCTGAAGATCGGAGTTGTTTTTTCCATTGATTGCTATCTAAGATTATATTCTCTATACTAACTATGTTATATATTAAGCATAATCTATTGATATTATATTTATTTATAGTTATATGTGAGATTGGATTTTCTGGGCTCATATATGGTGTGTATCTAATTTTGTCCTTAAAACCAAGTGCGATAGTATAAGCTTTCTTTAATAAGTATAAAAATTATCCTATCTCGGTATATAGTGGCTTACTAGAGTTCACTATGTACCTGAAGGGAAGATTTGGAGACCTACATAAATTGAGAATTTGAGTTGGACTTTTTTTTGCTTTAGCACAAAGAGTAGAGTAATGACCTATTTAGGGTTTGGAGATTTTAGACCTGTTCGGCTGATATTAAAGTTGGCTGATAAGCCAACTAAAATTATTTAGTTATAAGAGAAAAATACTGTAGATTGAGCCGACCGATAAGTTAGCGAACGTACCCTGCACAAATTGTATCATCCCTGTCATAAAAAATTCCAAACAAAAAGTGTTTCATCTCCGTCAGCCGCGGCCGCGACGTCTGCTTTGCTTCCGAGTGGCGCGAACGCATTGATCCTTCCTTTCTCGAATCTCGACTCTCCACCGTCCCGCGCCTCTTTCCCTAGTTCCAGGCTTCCAGCTGGCAGTTGTGCTGCTTGCCTGCTTGTACAGAGAGAGGCTGGCGGCCGGGCCGGGTCGGGCGCACGTGATCTTCTGCCATTCTGGAGGCGCCGGTGGCCGCCGCCTCAGGTTGCTTCGCCAGCGCGCCGTGCCGGCGGGGGAGATGGCAGATTCGCGCACCTTATCGCCGCCCGCCGAAGAAACCTCCTGCGCGTCGCCCGGACCCGCGTGCCCCCGCCAGGCGCTCGACCTAATGCCGCGGCGCCCCCACGGCATTCCTCCAATCTTTATATGAAGGTTAGTTTTTATATGAAGGAGAACCGTACATCAATCCAAGCCGAGTTCCACCCCGAGGTAATCCTGAGCCTCTCTTTCATTCTTGTTCTCGCTCTATTGCTTCCACTGAAATTGCCTGGGAGCACAGCATCGAATCCCACCCGCCAGTGCTGGTTCTCGAAATCGGGTCGTGCAAATAAGCTTCTTGCCTTGAGGCTTAATATACAGCTTCTTTATTTGGGGAACTGTAAATGCTTCTCAATATTGGTGGCTACTACATTTTTTTTATTGCCTTGTTCTATTGCAGTGTCCCCTTAAGCTGTAGCAGTAAGATGTCCCTCAGCAAGACCGTGCAATTCCAAGTGGAATTGCATACTAAATTCGTTAGCTGAGGTTTTCTAGTTTTTTCTGCGGGCCAGAGAACAGCTTAACATATCTGAAGAATCATCATAAGAAAATAAAATGAGGGCATCAGTAGCTAGTGCTTATCTTTTCTTGCCTTTGTTGTTTAAAGATGAATTTTTGGCTGCTTAGGTATGTTCATTATTACGACACTTGTCAAATGGTTGTTCTGCTATGATTAACTATTGTGTTATTTCTGACAACTGTAGGTTTCCTACTTCCTCCTTCATGTAGGAACCTAATATATTTTATGTCGCTGAAGAGTAGAATAACTATTTGGACCGTTATTCTAGTTACACTATAGTCAACTGAATGCTTCATTTTGTTGGTATATATTTTTATTAATACTACTAGAATTTTTTTTACCTAATATCGGGCTATATAGAATTATAGATAAACATCTATAAATGACTTTTTAACTTTCAGAGATTATGTGAAATTTAACTTGGGCAAAATGACCATATGCTGCACAATTTTACCTAAGGGTGCATCCGTATCCTGTTTCTTTATTCTGTATGAGATTCCCATCCTAACTATTTGTACATGTTTAAACCAAATAATAGAAACTGGAATGCTAAAAGACCATAATGTACTCAAGAAGACCAGCACTGTTTCTGGCAATACAAGCAATATGTTCTGTTCCTTTATTGAGGGCTTTGATATCAAATTCATAGCTTCAGAATTAATTTATTGAGTTCCTATTTGAAGCGTATTGGCACCTCTTTCAAGTACAAAGCAAAAACTCCATATCAAAGATGAGCTTCAGATCCATCGAACAGTTACTTAGGAGGAACAGCAAAACCAAAATTTCTCGCAATATTGTTGACGGTGTCCATGACCAGAAGGAAGAGCAGTTGGTGCAATCCTTGAGGGAGTTACTTCTTGCAAGCAACCAGCTCCCAGATAAGTTTGATGACTACTATGTCCTTCTACGGTATGCCCATTTTATTTATTTTCTGGAAAATTATGTTATATATTGTTCTTACGCTGACATAATCCATCCAGTAACAGGGTAGGAGATGTTTTATTCTTCGATAGTTCTACGATGCCTGTTTCCTTCCAGTTTTGCACTGAAGAGATCATGACCTCATTGCTCTCTCATCTTGCAGCTTTCTTAGAATGAGAGGCTTCAACATCTTAAAAGCAAAAGAGATGTTCTTAAATATGTTAAAATGGCGTGAAGATTGTTCTGTTGATGCCATCGCAAACGTATGTGTTTTTATTGTGTGTTGCATTTCTTTTATCTCTGGTTTGTTACAAGAATTTATGCGTACAGTTATCTTGGAACTTTGCTCTATCTGTACCATAAACGTCGTATGTTAGAATAATATATATGTACTTTTATTGCAATATCGAGCTTATGGCTGTGGCACTGTGCATATCAGCTTAGCTGGAATTTTATTATGGATAAAGCTTCCTTCATCTAAAAAATGAAATATCAAGCTTAAATGTCTGTTTCTATGCTACAGGATTTTAAATTTGAGGAGTATGATGCTGTGAAAAGATGCTATCCTCATGGATTTCATGGAGTTGACAGATTTGGCAGGCCTCTATATATCGAACGGGTTGGCTTGGTGGATCTCAGTAAGCTCATGCAAGTGACTAGTATTGATCGATATGTAAAATATCATATATCAGAACAAGAAAAAACTATATCTTTGAGATATCCTGTTTGCTCACTTGTGGCTAAAAGGCACATAGCCTCAACAACAGCCATATTCGATGTGAAAGGACTGGTGCGTCAAAGCTAAATGAAGCACTTCCCTTTAATGTTTCATATATTCCAGTTTATAAGAAAATAGTTGCCTAAATGTTCAGCCATTCTTCATTCTCTAATACTGTGACCCAAGTTTCATGTTAGAAGCAGGTAGTATTAGAGAATAGAGATGCTTTGATTTATTACTGTCTTGTAAGTTTTACAGGGCTTTGCTCACTTTTCATTTTATGTCTAGATATGTGTTCCACATACATGAAACTAATACATATCTACCTGGAACTATCAGACATTTTATATGTTAGTTTTTAAGTTCCCTATCTGGCATATAATGAAGTTATTTGACTATCTGTACGCAATCATATATTTTTTCTTGGCTGCCGTTATTCAGGGGTTGAATAACTTTTCAAAATCTGCAAGAGAGATGTTCGCAGAGATCCAAAAGATCGATAGCAATTACTATCCAGAGGTTTGTCTTGGTTATGTCCATGATCGAACATCTAATGTGGCTTTTGCACTAGCCACAGTGCTCATACGTATCTTGCTTCTTGCTACAGACATTAAATCAACTTTATATAATTAATGCTGGAACTGGATTTAGAGCACTGTGGAAGGTATTGAAAGCATTCATGGAGGCAAGAACGTTAGCAAAGGTTCAGGTAGCATATCTTTTTGTTTGCACTATTATTGTTTGACAAAATAGAGTGAATGCTTACCTCTATGTTACTTGTTAGGTTCTGGGGACCAATTACCTTAACACAGTATTAGAAGCTGTTGACCAAAGGTAAAAGTGCATCAAGTCATGTGCAACGTTTGCATCTTTAGCTGCTTGAATGATTGCTCCTTCTGCAGCAATTTACCAGACTTTTTAGGCGGAACATGCACTTGTCCAACAGGAGGATGCTTACTCCAAGATAAAGGACCCTGGACTGACCCAGAAATGGTTCGTGCTTCTAAGGTAAGGTATGTTTCTTTAATAGGTCATTTGAAATTTTCTGGGAAGCTGAAATAAAAATAAAAATAAAAATTGTTGGGAGTGATGGAATCTATTTGTGATTCTTAGGAAGCATTTGGTAAAGGTCAGAAGTCTTTCAATGAATTGACTGCCACAGTTGCCTGTGAAAGCTTTACAGGTTGTCAGGTATTATGGTATATATTGTTCTTATTGTTCTTTGCACTTTAACTTCAACAGTTAAGCCTTTATCAGCATAGGCCTATTCCTATAGGGTGGTTGTAATATTGGTGTGTGGTCATCAGCCATTGATATGAGTGTATCAAGCCTTTTGAAGTGTTAAACACTCAGCACCTTCTCAACCATGATTTTCAGTTTATAATCCTGATTGAGCATCCATTGACCTAGTTTATAGAAATAGAGGCCCCATTGTCACATTTTTTTTCTCGAACACAAGAGAATTGCGCATCATTTCATTGAGAGAAATTGTCAAATCTATGATCTTCCTTTCCTCTAATATGATCCCATCTTTCCCTACTGCCCTTGCTCATCTCTCCACTGAGTTTTCTTTTTCCTATCCCTCTCGAACACGCAGGAGAGCTGCGTATCATTATATTAAGAAGAAGAAGGGGCAACGCAACCACAAACAAACATAAACACCAACACCAACACACACTACACACGCCACTCTAATATTTTGTGATTACAAGCACGCCTGTTAGAACTGAGACAAGCGACCGACACCCCCAGACACCAACCTACTACTCTTCATGAGCCGGACTAGTCAAAGAAGAGAGGCTCCGCGCGCCTGCTACCTATCCCTCTTTATGCTTTCCACCACTTGGTTTTCTTTTCTGAAGAGATATAATTATCACACAACTTGTGTGCACGCACACCTTGCCTTACCAGAAAATTATAGTCTGAGAGAAAATAATCATTACATTGTATCTACCTGTTTATTTCCTTTCCGTTGCTTAGTGCCATGCCCAAATGAAGTTGGCTCTCCTGTCTTCTAGTTCTCCCTCATTTTCCTTGCCAAAGAATCATCATGGATTCTTGATTCTTCGTATTTTGTTTGCAGGAGCCTTCCACAAAACAAGTAGATTCCACTTCTCGTAAGAAAAGAACTCTCGGCATGTTGTTAAAAGATGACCAGGTCTTATTTGTGTCATCTTCTTTATTTTCTAATTTCATTTCTATCCCAGTGGAGTTTCACTTCATATCAGGGAAAAATATGTGCCAGTAAATAATTTTAAGTTTCACAAGGCAGCAAGTAAAGAAAAATACGTCTATGCCAGTTCAGCCAGTATTCCTTGTGTTATGCACGAAAAGTCGCATTAATACTGAATTCTCTATGGGACAGGTTGGAATTGATACAGGTGAAAATATTCTGCAGAAACAAGTCGATGAACAGATCTCGGAGAAGATCCGAGAACTTGAACACTGCGCTGTTCAGAGTAATGAGGTGAGCAAAGGAACCCAAATTCAAGAAATTGCAGCCAAGAAAATATTCTACATAGCAACTGAATGTAGTTTCTTTGTAATTCAGACCCTGCAGACACTAATATGTAAGCAACAAGAACTCACTGGCCACATCGAACAGCTGAGGAAAATCCTTCAGTGAGAATGGCACCCCTCCTAGTTCATTCATTCCTTTAGTTGCTGTCTTGCATAGCATTCAGCATCCCAAACTAAGAAGATAATCTCTCTACTTTTTCTTTTATTTTTCAAAAAAAAAAAATACAGGGATGGCATGGGTGCAGATATGAAAGGCGACACACAAGACACAAAACTCAAAGTAAATTAGTGCTTGCCGAAGGTGGAGAAAGTCAGAAGGGACAAGAAACGAAGCCATCGTTGTAATGTAATAAAGAAAAAAAATATGCACCTTAGATAGTTTTCTGTGATGAATCTTTAAGACTTTAACCCCTATGAGCTGTTAAAACACTCAGTTGTGAATGTCATAGTATACTGTACACCATGGTTATTCTCGCAACGCTGTCCAACGTCCTCTCAGTAGTCCTGTACCATTGTTAAATAAATATTACTCATGTCATTTACCGTCATCCAGGTTTCATGAGTAAAGTTGTCTCTTACCGAGATTAGATTCAAGTCACACATCTTCAAATCACTCAGTACTTTGAGGTTTCATATGCACTGGAGCTAAACCGCAAGGGGCTTCCAAACAAAAAAATGGCATTCCCCTGTTTTTTGTTTTAAGAGCCGATGATTATTGTGCTTGCGCTTTTTTAAAAGAAACTACAACATCCCTATATGTACTTGCTCATTACAAAATAGAAGAAATTGTTTGTTTAGTTTGGGCAAGGCTTTAACCAAAATTAATATACTAATATGTCAATTATGTGATGCAAAATCACAATCACAAGTAACACGAATCTAGGAAGGTTAGTTTGTATCAAGACAAGAAAATGAGGTATTGATAAAGCAATTGTTGGTCAAAGGCTAGTCATAACCAAAGGGATTATACTTCCATCTTGAGGCAGTCTACATTATAAATCTTTTTTAGATATATATATATGTTAATAGAAGGGCAGGTCTGGTGTAGTGGTGAGAGCTGTCTCACTGAGTCACCAGGTCATGGGTTCGAAGCAGCCTCTCCGCAGATTTTACGGGGAAAAGGCTTGTCTCGGTTTATCCCTTCCCCAGACCCCACTCATGTGGGAGCCTCCGGCACTGGATCTGCCTATATATATATATATATATATATACTTGTCTCGGTTTATCCCTTCCCCAGACCCCACTCATGTGGGAGCCTCCGGCACTGGATCTACCTCTATATATATATATATATATATGTTAATGTGTGGCGTAGAAAAGACAAGGGAAAGCTTGTTAACACAAATGGTAAAGCCTTAACTAGTGTTTCTCTACTACAAATGCGCATATGAGTTATTATCATCCCTTAAAAATGATGTACACATTTGAACATTTTTTCTTTGTTTATTTTTTAGGCCAATTGCATTTCTGCTCTTGTTTTCAACTCTAAGTGCATGTTTGCCCCCGTTTTTTTAATTTTGTAAATTTGCCCTTGTTTTTGAATTTGAAGCTTCCACTTGCCCCTATTCCGTGAAGAAGACTTAACGGTGTTAAATAAAGGCTGAAAAGATACAAATGCACTTGACACGAATGACCCAATAATCAATAGGATTTTTCATATACAAACTTATTGTGATGTATTTTGGACAAATAACATCACATTTATTTTGTACAGACAGGAATATCATCATTGTCATCTCAGTCAACTATTTCATCATCACAGCCTCGATCCGTTGTTTGGGTTTTTTTAACGGGCCCCACTGCTTTATTGGTAATTAAAAAACAAAGAAAAAAAAAGGAGAACGCTCATTCAGATTCAGGCCGCACTCAGGCTTATCGGTTCGGATGCCCAGTCCATCACGGCTTCAGGCTTCACCAATCACCGAGCACCCAAGGACTCAAGGAGGCACGCTGTGGCGTAAGCAAGGGACCTGAGCGGACGGCAGGGCGCAGCAACACCGCGAGCAGAGACCAGCAGCGTGGGCGTGGCGGCGGGATGAGCTCCGCGCCTACCGCCCTGCGCGTCGCCGGTCCTCCGCGCCGTCTGCTGCGCCGTGCCGCCAGCCAGTCGTGCCGCGCCGCCGCCCGCGCGCCGCCGGCCTGCCGCGCAGCTTGGAGTGCGCCCCGCCGCCGACCCTAGCGACCGCACTTCTCAAGTCACGGGATGAGAGAAGGGGAAAAGAGCAGGCCCTTATGTTTGGCATCATAGTCTTTTCCCTTTCCTTCTTTTTGCCAAACAATTTTTTTGACCCATTATTAAACAGCAACTCACTGAGTTGGGAAACAAGGGCAAACGGCAATTCAAGTTCAAAAAATAAAGGTAAATATGCAAACTTAAAAAAAATATGGGCAAACGTGCGGTTAAATTTGAAAACGAGGACTGTCGGTGCAAAAAGTGATCAACAACTAAATATTTATCGTTTTATCGTACGTTGTGATCGGATGTGGCATAACACTTAATGACACGGAGTTTATACTGGTTCAGGCAACGTGCCCTACGTCCAGTTTGAGTCGGTCGATGACTTTATTCCTGAGCCCAGGTGCTCGAAGTTTGTTATGGAGTTACAAACGAGTGGGAATAAGATGGGGTGTTAGAGGTCCGGTCGGACTCTAGACTGAAGGGTCGAGAGTGACGGGAGCTTCTACGTGCGCTAAATATTGAAACGTATGCTCTGTGTAGCTTCAGAGTTCTAGAGCAGTGAAGCTGTTCTAGTGCTCAGAATGTCTAAAGCTAGCAGAGAGAGTCGGAATGTTTTTTTTTCTGTTGGGAGAGGACACATCCCCTTTTATAGATGAAGGGGACATCCTTACAAGTTCAAGAGAGAGTGTGTGTGCCCTAGTCTTGTTGTCCACGCCGTTAGGTACAAGATAGTTTGTCGGCGTCCACAATACTGTTGACGCCCAGATGCATGTGGTAGGCTCCATCGTATTCTTCTGGTATGGCAAATATCGACGCCTACCATACTGTAAGACAAATATCGACGCCTACAATACTGTTTGTGTTCTGACACGTCTGAAAGGCTGCAAAGTACCATTCTGGCATGGCCTGACAGTACTGTCCTGCAGGTGTGCAGGGTACGGTCCTCGGTATTGCGGTTGACTTGAGCGTCTTACCTTATCTGCTCCGCCTGATTTCTTGGGTCCTCACCGAGCGGGTGTCTCCGGCCGGTCGTTCCCAGTTGGCTCCGACCGCGTCGGTCGGAGAAGAACCGTAAGCAGAGGTTCGGTGTATTAACCAGACCTTCCGGTCGAAGACTGGATCGCTCTTCCGGCCTGTCATTAGGTATCTGGGCCGGCCCATGAGTTGCGCGTCGTTCGTAATGCCGTCTACCGGGCCGAGCTTTTGCTGAAAAGCGGGCCCATTAGAGACCCAGGTTTATAAACCCGACAAGAACAGTAATGCAATTGTCATTTATTTTTTTTAACATAATGTATTTGTGTCAATATTTTGATAATTGCAGATGTATATAAATAAAAAGGATGTGTGCAAACCTACGGACATGTTTACTTTTGTTTGAGGGTTAAGTGCTTGCTTTATGTCGGAGAAGTACAGCATTTTTCCACAAAAATGAGTAGGAGTGTGATCGGACCAGATACGGACAAATATTGTCGATTTCATATTTGTTTTTATATTTCCTTTTGGATTTAGGATGGAACACAGATATCCGTCGGTTATATATGTACTGATAAGGCGTATAAATTGCAAAAACCAGCTTTGCATATTGTGACAATTCATGAGCTGAGAGAACACATTGTTGGATTGTAATAATCTAGAAGTTGATTGTGATAACCTAAGGAGAGAAATTGTTTTCCCGCTAAACACAATATTTGCAAATGCACATATACTCAACCACCACCCCATCTAGGGCCTGTTTGGATCCAGCTAACTAAAGTTTAGCTAGCTAAAATTTTAAAGTAAAATTTTAGCCAGCTAAAAGTTCTCCCAACTAAACTTTAGCTAGGGTGTTTAGATCCTCCAGCTAATAGACTCAGCTAAATTTTAGCTCTGTTGAAACAACTAAACTCACTAAACTTTAGCTGGTCTTTTAGCTAGACCATTTGAATCCCTAGCTAGCAGCTAAATTTAGCCGGCTAAAATTTAGCTATTGGATCCGAACATGCCCCTAAAGGTATGAACGCATGCCCTACCTTTATGAATGCCCGAGACTAGAATCTGACTATAGGTGAAAACAAATAGGGCTGATGTTTTACTTCTTCAAACTATATATTTTAAAAGTCAATAATAGTTAAAATTCTTAAAGTTTAACCTTAACTTGTCTAAAACAATAACTGCTGCTGTGTGATTTTTTTCATTTGTTTTGAGTGAGCTATGGGTGGTTATTATTAACTTAATATTCATGTGAATGTCAAAGCAAACATGTTTTTCTTTGACAAAAAGATGTCCTAAGTCATCTTATTCCCAAATTCTATTAAGGCTCATTTGGATCTTCTTTTCATTTTAAAGGAATTAGAATATAATTTATGAACCAGACTATTTAGCTTGAAATTTGCTATTCCATAACTTTCTAAAGTTTGAATGCAAGCCTGTCTTAAATTTATTGGGTGAGAGATAGAAATTGATTCCATAGATCCTCATGCTAAGTTTCTGCTCTACAACTTACAACATGCTCTTCGCCTCGCTCTGCTGCAGCAGAAATGCAGCACATAAGTATCTCCCTCAAGTGGACAACAATAATATATAAGTATATTTGGTATGTAGCCATATTAATTTAATTGATTTGTATTTAAATTGTGATTATTAGAATGAATTTCAATTCAAGGATCCAAACGGATCTTAGAAAAACATGAACCGGTATAGGGAAGGCTATGGAAAAAAAGGAAAACTCTTTATCCAAATTGTAAAATATGCATTTCATAAATTTCATCTGATAATTGGATTTTAGTCACATTTGTATTCGCTTGTTTGGTGGCCAAAATAGTATTTGCTCTATTAAAAAAATCATGTTCCCGGTAAATCAAACAATTCTGAATTTAACTAGGTTTATAATTTTTACCCCTGTTTTGTATCAAAATTGTGATTTTACCCCTATTTTTTTGACTTTGTGA